CGGACATCGCAAAATCGACAAAGAATTTTATGCTGATCAAGAATATATATACTTTGAGGGGTCTAAAATGTGTATTTCGAGGTGTTACCAAAGGAATGATAAACTTAATATACCTTCCATACTATAGTGGAGGGTATAACAAAATCAGGGAGAGAGAGGAAAAAAACATGGAAAACAAACTACCGCCAGTTTGTCATTGTTGTAAGTTTTTTTGTTGTTGCCATTGTTGCTGTTGCAAAAAATGCATTGAATATTTTTTCCACCTTTACAAATCTATTTTGGAAAAAGGTTACAAAAACCAAATGCTAGCTGTAATTGAGGGAGGAGGAGGCTTATAAGAAGCTTTCAAGTTGACAAGAAAAAGAAAAAAACAAGCGGCACTGCAAAAACAAATTTGATATCTAAACGAAAGGTAAAGAAAAACTCCCAAATACCGGTATTTTTCAACGTTTTTTCTTTTTCATTTTGTTTCACTCTAACTGGTTTTAACTAGTTTTCCACTTACCTTAGAGGCCGAGAGACAAAACGGCAAACGAGTTGCAAAAAACATAAAATCCGCTGCACTCACACAGCTTAGGCGGCAACCACCCAGATTTGATCCAGCACCGTACGTACATATGTCTGCCTACTCCATGCCTCCATGAAATCACGAACTGGTGAAATTCAAACATGAACTTGAAAAAGCCATGCCAGGAGAATTCACATTGCACAAGAAACACAGAAGAAAAAACACAGAAGAAAAAAAACCAAAATCACACACACACACACGCACGCACGAACGCACAGATTTGTAGATATAAAACGCACAAAGTTGGGGCAAAAGCATAAAAAATACACACGCACATATGGAGGAGTTTTTTTTTTTGGTTTTTTGATTTGGTAGGTTTAAGTTTTCATTTTTATGATTCGTTGTGTGATTGGAAGGAAAGTTTTAGAATTTTTAAGGTGACGTATTGTTATTCCAAAGTTGAAGGTTGGGTTTTTTTTTATTTTTCAGAGCACAGTATTTTTTTAAAAATGACGAAAAAAAATTGGAAGAAAAATAATTGAAGACTTTCTGTAGTCCAAATAAAAATATGCTTTATTAGGATTTTTTCATATTTGCATACTTCGAAGATGCAAAATAAAAAAATTGGTTGGATTGAAGGAGATTCACAAACATATTTTCTAATTGTTTTTTCATATAGTGCATATGCAAAATATGTAAAAAAGTATGCACAGTAAGCGAAAATAAGCAAAACATACGAAATTAAAAGTAAAGAAGAAGAAGAAAAAGAACATTGAATACCCTCCACCATTTGGAACGACTTTGGCAATTCTCAAAAACAATAAAATCCATTAAAAATTCTGCTCAAATCTTAAAAATACCGAATGTTGCCGTTATTTTAGGGTCTCTACGACCTACGTGGACCTGCAGGCAACTTTTGTCATAAGTCATTAAAATATTCAAATGTGAGACTAAAAAAAATTAGGTGAATAATGTCGCTAAAATCATCAAAATACCTATTATCGGGAGGTACCGAAGACGTGGACTTGCACAAACAATTTTCTGTCATAGGCTGTAGTATCCATCACGAACTTCTAATATCAAATCTGAAACAATTCCGGTGAATAATGTCGCTAAAATCATAAAAATACGGAGTATCGGAGGTATCCTTAATATAGGGCTATAGGAAGACGTGGACCTGCACGGAGAATTTCCTGTCATAGGCTGTAATATCCATTAGGAACTTCAAATAACAAAATTGAAACAATTCCGATAAATAATGTCGCTAAAATCATCAAAATACCAAATATCGGAAGGTACCGATATTAGGGCAGCAATACAAAGACCAGGGCCTTCATAAAAAAATTTTGTTGGTCACAGGCTGCAGTTTCTATTACGAACTTCAAATACCAAATTTGAAACATTTCCGGTGAATAATGTTGCTGACATCATCAGAATACCGAATATCGGGATGTATCGTTGTATGGAGGCTATACGAAGACGTAGACCTGCACAGCCAATTTTCTGTCATAGGCTGTAATATATGTTACGAACTTCAAATACCAAATTTGAAACATTTCCGGTGAATAATGTTGCTGACATCATCAGAATACCGAATATCGGGGGTACCGTTTATAGGGCCTCTACGAAGACGTGGACATGCACATCCAATTTTGTGTCATAGGCTGTATTACCCATTACGAACTTCACGTACCAAATTTGAAAGAAATCTGGTGAAAAATGTCTCCAAAATCATCAAAATACCGAATATCTGGAGATACTGTTAAAACGTGGACCTACATGACCCATTTTCAATGCCAAAAGTCCTGCAGACATAATACACATTTGAGTAAAATTTTATCAACCTACTTCATTTCGTTAGGAAGCTAGATTTCCACAGAGGGACGGACATCGCTAAATCGACATAGAACTTTATGCTGATAAGGACCACAGGATGAGATTACAAAAACTGCAACCAACTTTAGACTGCTGTCATTTCTAAGCCACTCTGCCGACAGCTGTTAAAATTATTCAAGTCACAGGTCAATATATTGTTTACAAGCGTTCAAAAGCATTTTGGTAAGTATTTTCCAGAAAAAAAGTTATTCGTGATGGAACTCAAGCGTGATAGTGTGATTTCTTTATATTTGGCTTGAAAACCACAAGTGGCTATCGTTAGAGAACTCCAGCATTTAAATGCGAATAAATCTTTTTTGTCTCATACCATCGCTCGTTACCGTGATACTGGTAGCGTAGGCCGACGTCAAGAAAGTGGACGGAAGAAAACAGCAACATCAGCAGAAATGGTTCGAAAAGTAAAGAAGCGACTTGATCGAAACCCGCAGTGACAGTGGCCGAAAAATGGCTCATGAGCTGAACATATCGCAATATTTCATTCGGCAAATATTAAAAAATAAGCTCGGGGTAAAGCCATTGAAATGCCAAAAATTCAAGAACTTACACCGCAACAGAAAGAAAATAGACTCAAAAGAGCTAAAGAGTTGCTTCGCTTGGCCGAAAGTGGTGAATTGCCGAATTTGGTTTTCTCCGCTCCGATGAGAAAACATTTGTTGTCCAGCAGTTTGTAAACGAACAAAATGATAGTGTTTCCTTGCTAAAGAGGTCAGCTGAAAATATGCACCTTCGGTTGGCCACCAGAACTCAAGCGTCGACCATGGTGATGGTGTTTGGCCGCCATAACAGCCGATGGTCGCTCTCTGGTCTTATTAATCAACCGTGGCATCAGAATAAATGTCGAATATTATTGCGAATATATCCTGGAGGGTGTATTAAAGCTTTGGGTACGCAAACATTTTGGCCGCAGACCTTGGACATTCCAACAGGACTCACCATTATCGCACTCAGCACGCGCCACACAGGAATGGTTACAACATGGGGTTCCTCGCTTCATTTCCAGCGCACAATGACCACCAAAATCTCCGGATACCAATCCGTTAGATTATTGTGTCTGGAGTATTTTGGAAAACAAGGTTGGCACTAAAAAATACCAAAATGTCGATCACCTCTAGCAAGTGCTTCGCCGGGAATGGACCAAAATACGAAAAGTATAGCAACATTCGGGCAGCGTGTGACGGTTTCATTGGCCGTTTGAAGGCCATAATTTTTGCAAAAGGTGACCAATTCGAACAAATCTAGACTTTTTTTAATTGTTTTGTTATTTCCCTGATTGGCTGGTTCTTTACATTTCAATATTCTTATAAAAACAAGTAATCTCTAATTTTAGGGGACACTTTTCAATAATTGCTCTTTTTTATGAACATGGACTCTAAAAAACCGAACAAACTTTACAGATCCAAAAGATTCCATTAAATTAATTGTTCACTTTTATCTTTTCAAAAAAAAAAAAAAAATAATAATAATAATTCAAATTTAACATCACTTTGCCGACAACAAAAATCCTCATTTCAAATTCTCCAAGCAGTTACGTGTTCGCTTTCAGAATTTTAAAAATACAAAATCTGACTTTAACTCCGGATCAACCAAACGGAGAAGTAGCTTTACGTCATGTTGTTTAAGTACAGCTTGACATCATTTGTTTAATTAAAAATTCTTTAGAAATTTTTAATTTTTGTCTAAACGATTTGAATATTTTAGATTTTGAGTTTTTTTTATTTTGGTATAAAACCGGATAATCTGATTAGATATGAATCTAGACCAGATGAGCAAAAAATACCGCTTGGAAACAAGTTTTAGAGATTTTTATTTTTTCATATTTAGTTTATTGCAATGCTCGTGTTACTCCATTTTTCAGGGGGTTGGGGGAGGTATAGAAGATATGCAGTTATTTATATATATATATATATATATATTTTTTTTTTTTAATAATTCTGCCTTTTTAAATATCTTTTGCAAAAATATTAATTATTGCTTGAATGGATAAACTTTCACCGCAAAATTCTCTTTTCCTTATTTTTTTTCTCAATAACGAATTCAATTTTATGTTTATATTTTTTTCCACATTTAGTTTTTTTTTATAAAAAAAAATTTCATTAAAAATTTTTATGGTGTTTTTCAATTTTTTTAAATTATTTTTTTTTTAAATTCCATAGTTGTTTTCAAATTTAACATTTTTTTTAACATTTAATAATTTTTTTAAACATGGTATCATTTTATCATCTCACTCATTGACTTATAATTTTAAATTTAAATTTCTTTTGAATTTAAAAATATTTAATTATTAATTTGTAGAAGTTTTCATAATATTTTTCAAACTACATATATTTTGTCAATATTGAAACAATTATAAAAATATTTTTCAATTTTTCCCGAATTAAAAAAAGTAAGAAATTTTTTTTATTTATTTATTTATTTATTATTTTTTTTTTCTAAAGAATATTCCACACTTTGTCACTCTGCAACTTTTCCTTCCAATCAGCACGTCTCAGCTCTAGAAAAATCACATTTTTTATGAACGTTTTATTATCATTTTTAATTATTCCATATTTTTTGATTAAAAATTCCACGAATTTCGTTTTTAATATCATTTCCTTACATTTTGTTTAATTGGCACTTTTTCCCCAGAGACACTTTCAAATGAAATGATTTCTTTCAAACCACAATGGGTTCTTGAAAAAAAGATTCTTTCTTTTTTGTATTTTTCAAGTTTCCGTTCGATATTTCTTTTTTTTTTTGTTTTCCTTTCTTTCGGTTGTGTCGGAAAATATCCAAAAAACGCGCTCTATCTGTGAAACGTTTGCATGTTTCAACCACGTCTTTACACAAACTGATTTAAACCAACGCGAACGATGTTGGCTTAACTCTGGCCTATCTCACACTAAGCGTTTCATGTGTATTGTTGTTGTTCGACAGTCATAAATGCACACACACACACACACACACGAGAGCAGCGCACTCAAAGATAAATACCCACACATAGATTTTTGATTTTTTGACTTGACGTGTTACTAAAAGACAACAACTAACTACTAAACAAAAGTGGAATAATTGTAACCTATACTGAGCCTCTCTCATATTTGGGGAGAGAAATGAGAGTTATCAATAATGGTTATTCTCTTAATGATATATTCCCTCTCTGTGTGTCTCTTTATCTTTGCTATGGTATCAAACATCATGATGATCTTCAACAGGTAGTGTTAGTGGAGGAATTCTCGCTCTCAGAGATAAATTTTAATGTGATAATTTGTATGTAGTGTTGCCAGATTGTTGGGCGAAGAGTAGTTAAAATTAAAATAAAAAACAACCGAGATTTGGTGCCTTAGAATGCCTTGGAGTCAAATCGATGGGGTTGTACTATATATAAACAATCTTTAATATAAATTGGATTCAAATCATCGGAATGAGGAACATTTCCTGATACCTTACAATAAAGCCGAATTGGGCGCCATAGAGTTGCAATAGTTAATGTGCCGCTTTGTGCACAGAATGTAGTCGTGCCGTACTCTTATACAAGCACCTCAATAAAGGTGGCAACTTTACAGAATGGCCAAGCCTTGAAAACTCCAAAATTGAAAGCTTCGACCCAACGTAAAGAAACGGAGCACTGCATATTTTCGCAAAAAAAAAAAAAAACATATTTCAAATCCAAATTCCCAAAATAAATAGATCTAAGCCAAAATATAAGCCGACATTGACATTAGCTGATAGAGTCCACGTTTTTGTGTTAAACTTTGGATTTTGTCAAAAAATGCACAGATTGGTCCACAATTATATTAAACTTCCATAAATAATCTTTAGATCGGAAAAATGTTCTAAAAAGATTTGACGTTGTATATAAATCCCGCATAATGATACCTCTTTATCAACGGCATTTTCCTTCGCCTTCAAACGGCCAATGAAACCGTCACACGCTGCCCGAATGTTGCTCTGCGGTATTTTGGCCCATTCTTCGCCGGGTTACTTGAGGTGATCGACACTTTGGTACATTTTAGTGCCAACCTTTCTTTCCAAAATACTCCAGACACAATAGTCCAACGGATTGGTATCCGGAGATTTTGGTGGCCATTGTGCGGTGGAAATGAAGCCAGGAACCTCATTTTGTAACCATTCTTGGGTGGCGCGTGCTAAGTCCTGTTGGAATGTCCAAGGTTTGCGTGTCCAAGGCTTTAATACACCCTCCAGAATATTTTCGTTATAATATTCGGCATTTTTTATAATGTCACGCTCGATTAATACGAGCGGAGAGCGACCATCAGCTGTTATGGCGGCCCACACCATCACCATGGCCGGCGCTTGAGTTCTGGTGGCCAACCGAAGGTGCACATTTTTAGCTGACCTCTTTGGCAAGTAAACACGATCATTTTGTTTGTTTACAAACTGATGGACAACGAATATTTTCACATCGGAGAAAACCATATTCGGCAGTTCACCACTTTCGGCCAAGCGAAGCAACTCTTTAGCTCTTTTGAGTCTATTTTCTTTCTGTTGTGGTGTAAGTTTTTGCACTTTGGAATTTCAATATTTGCCGAATGGAGTATTGCGATATTTTCAGCTCACAAGCCATTTTTCGGCCACTGGGACGCGGGTGGTGATCGATCAAGTCGCTTCTTTACTTTTCGAACCATTTATGCTGATGTTGCTGTTTTCTTCCGTCCACTTCCTTGACGTCGGGCTACGCTACCAGTATCACGGTAACGAGTGATGGTACGAAACACAAAAGATTTATTCACATTTAAATGCAGGAGTGCTCTAACGATAGCCACTTGTGGTTTTCCAGCCAAATATAAAGAAATCACAATATTACGCTTGAATTCCATCGCGAGTAACTTTTTTCTGGAAAATTATCACCGAAATTCTTTTGTACGCTTGTAAACAATATAATGAGCTGTCACTGGAATAATTTTAACAGCTGTCGGATGAGTGGCAGCAGTCTGAAGTTGGTTACAGTTTTTCATCTCACCCTGTATTTTCCATTTTCGCATCTGACCTAGCACTCATGCATATATTAGGATTTGAAAAGTTGGAACAAAATCGGATTATCCTTTCTCTTTCTGTGCAATAAAATATATTTTTTGAAAATTATGACTATTTTGCAGAAATAGTGGACCGATATTGCCCATCTCCGAACTCGATCCAAGTTTGATTATAATACAACTATGCTCCAAATTTGGACCAAATCGGATTCTCCCTTCCAGCCAGATAAACAGGCGGACTGATGGACGGACATCGCTAGATCGACTCCAAAATGTCCTGAAATGGATTTGGTCCAAAGAGAATAAGGGCCAAAAATCGTTATTTCCATGAGGCACGTTTTGGATGTATCAAATTATATATATTTTGTTTAGCTATATGGCTGAGGTTATAAAAACATCTTGCAACTACACATATGTATTTATCTCAGAATTGTATGGGAAAACTTCCTGCATTACCATTCCAATGAGATTTTCTCATTTAAAAGAATTCTTATTATATGTGAGTGATACATCTAATGAAATTGTAAAGGTTAGATGGAAGCAAAAAAAATTATCTGAAATTTTGAAAATCTCTTTTAGCAGGGGTGCTCAAAAAGAAATATCTCTTTTCAGTCAAATTTCTCTTTGCTTATTTAAATCAAGAACAAAACAGTGTTAAGTCATTATTTATACAAATATTTTTTATCCATTTGCTTTATAAATTATTAAGGCAAACATTCATGTTAAAAATAATTAAATTGAATCGTAAAATAAAAAGAAAAACAGAATTTTAATTTTCTCTTAAATTATATCTTTTATCTCTTCATGTTCTAGAACACGGGTTTGAGCACCGCCGCTTTTAGATACAATGCTTGTGTTAAGAGTTCAAAACCAGCTACACACATTTCTCTCTCTCTCTCTCTCTCTCTCTCTCTCTCTTTCACAAAAATGCTCATAATTATGGTCATTATAAGAAACCCTCATTATTTAGATTCTAAATATGATTTTAGAAAAAGAAACCCTCATGAGATTTGTTGTTTTGTTTTTTTTTTTTTTTTTTTTTTCCTTCAATTATCTATTCTTATTCATTCCACAAATATTCTAATAAAATCAAACAGGTTGAAATGAAAGAATAAATTGATGGAATTTTTGGAATGAGTTAATTATTGGAATTATATAAAAAATCCCAAAAATTAAAATAACATAAATTACACAAATTATCTAAAACGGAAATTTTAAACTTTTTAAACCATTTTATGGTACACTCCGATATTCGGTATTTTGATGATTTTAGCCACAATTTTCAAGGAAATTGTCTGAAATTCTACACAAGGAGTTCTTTGTTAGTACCTTACCCCCAGACACAAATTTGTCTATATAGGTCCACAATATCGTATATCCCCCCATATATCGGCACCTTATGATATTCGGCATTTTTAAGATTTTAACAGAATTTTTAAAGGATTTTAATTTTTTTTTTAATTTCGATATTCGGTATTTTGATGATCTCAGCAACATTATTTACCGGAATTTCTTCAAATTTCGTATTTGAGGTTCGTAACGGCTACTACAGCCTATGACAAAAACTTTTATATGCAAGTCCACGTCTTCGTATAGCCCCCATATGACGGTACCTCAAGATATTCGGTATTTTCATGATTTCAGCAACTTTATTCACTGGAATCGTTTCAAATTTCGTATTGGGAGATCTAAATGGTTACTAAAACCCCTGGAAACAAATTTCGTACGCAGGTCCACGTCTTCGTATAGCTCCCACATAACAGTACCTCCAGATATTCGGTATTTTCATTATTTTAGCGACATTTACAGGAATTATATCAAATTTTAGACTTAAAGTTCCTAGTGGGTACTACAGCCTATGACAAAAAATGTTTTATGCAGGTTCACCTTTTCGTATGGCCCCCATATAACGGTACCTCCCGATATTCGGTATTTTGATAATTTTAGCGACATAATTCACCGGAATCGTTTCAAATTTGGTATTTAAAGTTCGTAATGAATACTACAGCCTATGATAGAAAATTGTCTGTGCAGGTCGACGTCTTGTTATAGCCCCATATACCAGTACCTCCCTATATTTGATATTTTGATGATTTTAACGACATTGTTCATCGGAATTGTTTCAAATTTGGTATTTGAAGTTTGTAATGGGTACTACAACCTAAGACAGAAAAATGTCCGTGTAGGCCCACGTCTTCGTTTAGCCCCATATGACGGTACCTCCCGATACTCGGCATTTTCATGATTTCAGCAACATTATTTACCGGAATTCTTTCAAATTTCGTATTGTGAGATCTTAATGGTTACTACAACCTACGGAAAAAAATTTCGTAAGCAGGTCCACGTCTTCGTATAGCCCCCAGATAGCGGTTCCTCCCGATATTCGGCATTTTCATGATTTTAGCAACAGTATTTATCAGAATTATTTCAAATTTCATATTTAAAGTTCATAATGAGTACTACAGCCTACGACAAAATTTTTGTATGCAGGTCCCCGTCTTCATATAGCCCCCATATAACGGTACCTCCCAATATTCGGTATTTTTATGGTTTGTGCGACATCATTCACCGGAATCGTTCCAAATTTCGTATTTGAAGTTCGTAATGGATGTTACAGCCTACGACAGAAGATTGTCTGTAAAGGGTCCACGTCTTCTTGTAGCCACCTTATAACGATTCCTCCCGATTTTCGGTATTTTTTTAATTTTAGCGACATTATTTACCGGAATTACGTATTTGAAGTTCGTAATGGCTGCTACAGCCTATGACAAAAATTTTTGTATGCAGGTCCACGTCTTCGTATAGCCCCCATATGACGGTACCTCCCGATCTTCGGTATTTTTAGCGACAGTATTCCCCTGAATTATTTTAAATTTGGTATTTGAAGTTCGTAATGGGTACTGCAGCCTATGACAAAAAATTACGTAAACAGGTGCACGTCTTCGTATAGCCCCCATATAA